GTATATATATGTGTGTATATATATATATATATATGTATATATTTATGAGGCACTTTAATTTTTGAAACACCCTATATATATATACATATATATACACAGGGTGTCTCAAACCTCCATGATGACTCTTTGTGAAAACGTAGAATAGATTGAGGTGAGCAAGAAAGTTCTGTGTCGTTTTGCGATATTTTGCGATTTTTTGTTCAGATTGACTTAATGTATAAGTATACAATAGCAGACAGCGCCACTGCAGCTCATGTACCATATTGCGCGTGATCATTTACCAATCTTTTTTAATTAATATCTCGACTATTATTGCGAATATCGCAAAACGACACAGGATTTTCTTGCCTCAATTCGTTCTACGTTCTCACAAAGGGTCATTATGGAGGTCTGAGATATCCTATATATATATATATATATATATATATATATATATATATATATATATATATATAACATATATATATAAATTATATATAATTATACTTTGTGTTCGGGTCTAATCTATGTGTGCACGAGATATAGGATACTGCGTCAAAAACGTTTAACATAACTCTAATAAAAAGAATTTCAGATTTTTCCACATTACATACTCTACTCAGAGAAAATGTTACGTTAAACTCACGAAGAGAGAGCCAAAGAAAAGATTACTCAACAAAGAGCAAGTCGTGCGATTGCTACTCATTAAAGAGAAATGCAATGTCACAGCTCAATAAAACTCGATTTCTCTCTCTTGGATCAATTGATTACTTGCAACGGCAGCAATTTAATCGTCGGATGACGAATTGAAACGGTTGATGACTGCGCTGTGTTCTTTACAATCGGGACGCGTGACGTACGTCGATGACGATGGACGACATGACCTCGGAGGTCTCGTATTCCCAGCCATGGTCGCAGGGCACGATAGACCATGAGGCGTTGGGTGCGAACGAGTACGCCGTCACGACGGTGCTGTTCTCCATAGTCCAGTCGATGTCGTATCGCGTGCATTGGCTGTACGTCTCGTTGTCGTCCTGCATTTACATCGCATCTTTTAGTCCCTTGACGCGAAACGTTGCATGAATAACACATTCGCATCCTGTGCTAAAGGCAGGATCGATTTTACATTGGGGATGCGACCGATCGCACAAATCAAATGGAAGGGAGGGGGGATTTCGAGCCGACTCCCGAAATAATGAATTCTGTTTTCGGGTTGTCACGAAACTGCACACATATAACGTAACTTTCACGCTGTTTACAGATTGTGAAGCAGCGATCTCGGATTACTCGCGCTACTTAGCAATATTCCTAAATGCAAATTAGAGAACTACGAATACCTGGAAATTTGCAAGTTAATCGCACACGACTCTGATAACTTTATACGCTTTTGGCATCTACATCTTCTAGTGACATAGCCTTACCCAAAAACGATGATGTATCTCTGGAGAGGATAAATTGTTACTTGACACCTTGAACAATTTCAATAACAAAAATTGTGATTTCATCTGTCCATTATTAGGAAGGAAATACTACCTACTACAGCTTTGCAATATATTTTCGGATCTGATACTATCCAAATGCTCAATTACTCGGATAGAAAATAAGTGTAACGTTTCAAATTCGGTTTATCCGGGGATTTTTCAAGATGCCCGAACAGTTGAAACATTAGATTTGGATCCGGATCTATTCATTAAATTTCTTGAAGCAGAATTTTGTTTGAAAAATAGATGTCCATTGAGTCACTCGAATTCAAGTGATCTTTAAGTCATATAGAGTGAATTCTCCACTCTTAATTTTTAGGAAATTTTTCCTCACTCGAAATTGAAGAGTGAATTTGATATGCTCCACCATGATAGAAATAGATTCATTCTAATCGACTAAAATATTCGCTCGTATGGAGTCAGAATCTACTTGAGGGAAACATTCATTCTTGTGATTTCGAGTGACAGTAATTTCACTCGAAACATTAGTCAAAATATTGCCACTCGAAATCACGAGAGTAGATGTTACCCTTAGCTTGGAATTCTGACTCCGTAGAATAGATTAAGGCGAGAAGAATGAAGAAATAACGATAATTTTCGAGCGAATATTTTTTGGATTCAACAAACAACACGCATAGTTTACGTGGAATACTGAGAGATACGAGAGGAAAGCTAATTCTAGTGATTATATAATATTAAATTAAAGAAGAATATCAACACATACGCACAAAATTACAATCAGCGCTAAGTGAAAAATACGGCGTGACGAGGTCACAGAAAAAAGAAGCGATAGCGACGAGAGTGATATAATACACCGATATATAATCGACACGTGTCGCGTGTCTCAATCGTAGAAGCGGTGTCGTGTCTCTACGAAGCTGTTGATACTGTCGACAACCGCACCTGAATCGCAGGAATAGCGAGCCGCCTTCTGCGAGCGGCGTCCAAGTTCTCCAAACCCGGCACCTTGCACCAATGCGACGGAATGTCTGCCATGAACAGCTGATTGAAGGCGCAGAAGCCGCAAGGCAGGCACGCCGGCAGACAAACTAGCCAGAGCAGCTGCTTTTGGTAACGACCGAACTCGCCAACGATCGGCAAAAGGTCGTCGAGATCAAAACTATCCTGCGAGACATGCGTGGCCATTCTCACGACTAGCAAGCAAGGTTTTGGACCATGAAATATGCCTTGTATCGTTATCATTCATACACTCTTTTCTTGTGAAATTTCTTCATTTTTAAGATATCCTAAATAATATTTCCCTATTTTTTCGAGAAAAAAACGATAAATTCCTCGTTATCATTAATAACACAGATTCCGCCAGATAACTTGTCAGAACAAATATTTCTTATAGTCTTTCGATCACATAAAAGCCGTACCACTTGCTCCATCACGTTAGATTTGAAAGTTAATTGAAGTTTTATATCGAAAGATCAGCGACTTTTTAGAAAAAAAAAAATCGAGTACAATAAATCGCTTGTCGTCAATGGAATAATAAAAACAAATAAACGGCTACTTCACACATCGATTCCTCATTAGTAAAGATTGAAATATTATGTCACAAACAGCAAAAAATTTGTTTATTATGTGCGTAGGAAAACTTTTTTTCGTATTTAACGAGAAGATTTGTCATGTTCGAGATTCAGCGAGAACGAATGATCGAATTTCAATGTAATCTCGTTCTCTTTATGATAAAATAGCCTCGAAATTATAATAAAAATTAGTAGAGAATTTGTAAGATATACTCCTACTTTGCTGAAAGTCATTCGACAAAAACTTGTTTTCGTGATCTTGCGTAACTGACAGCCATGAAGTCGACACAGGAACTCTGACGTCGAATCGGCATTTTCATAAAATCGAGGACGACGGAAAGATGAAATGGCATTAGAGCGGGACGAAAGCGGCACGTGTGTGATAATACTCACGTTATCTTCGGCGACTCCGCGGCCTTCCACGTTGTCAGTCTGCGTCGAGCCGTTATCATCCTGATGCTCCATTTCGTGAACTTCGGCCTCGTCTCGCGATATCGAAAGCCCCGATGATACCTTACAAAAGCCTCACGTGACGTGCATTAGCCTCCACCCAATGGACGTTTCGACCGATGCGATGCGCCTTGCATCCTCTTGTCGGTGTTCTTTCCGCGATGAAAGCGCGAAAACGACGTCCCCCTCGTGGACCCGCAAAAGTGCACCACCATGCACCTTAACGACTGCGGCGTCGACGGCGATTCGTCGCACTGCGACTTCTACTAACGGGACGGGCCCAAAATAACAAGGACACCAGTAAGTTCGAGTATTCTTCCAATTGCCGAGTTCGGTATTTTGATATTTTTTGCGATATCGGGATTATTTGTTGAAACGTCAGAGAAGAATTCGCGATCTTTTCATTTTCAATTCGATTTTCACGAATTCATTAACGGCATTAACAAATTCATTAAACAGATATGTGGTAGCCTATCACGTCTGCAAAGAGTTATGATCACGATGTGAAGATGATTGCGAAAATTATGAAGCTACAAATGTCGATCGTTTCGTACAATTCCGTCGATTCATCAAATGCTGAGCGTAATTTAATTAAAGCAAAATTGCGTTAAACCTCTGTCGATTAAAGAAATTACGATATTTGCAATTTTATGTAACTGGTGGTAACACGCGATCGCGTTCCCTTCGTTCAGCTGCACGCGAGTGTTTGCACTGAGTGAAAGAATGCATCGGAAAGTACATCGACAGTTGGTTGGTCTTTGTGTCCTTCTAATTCAATTGAGTTAAGGGTATTTAGAAGAGATTAAGAATAACGCTGACACATGCTGTATGTTACGGACGCATGACTCTCGATGCGGCAATCTGATATCCCCTCTGTCTCCTCCCCATCCGGATGAATGCGACGATTAATTTCGTATGGTTTCAATTGTCCCCGTCGCGCTGAGAAAATACTTCATTGAAAGAGAATCTCCCACTGGGTTTAACTTGAGAATGCAAATGATAATGTGAGGTAAATGTCCTAATTAGTGACCAAGCAATCTCATCCCATAAAAATAAATTTATCAATTAATAATGTATACGTTATTAAGGCTCCTGGGGAGTCGCATCATCCATCTCTTTTTAATGACGTCAGAAGCGAGAAAACGCATGCTAAAAATTCCTGCAAAATACGTCGAGATAAACAGATATATCCACAAAACGACATTTGCGATCGATTAAGTACATCTCTAAAATACTCCGTACACTTTCCTTTTGTTCTAACAATCAACAGATAATTATAAAATAAATGTGACGTGCAATCGTCTTTTCTAACCTAATTTCCTCATTATCTTGTCATATTAATTTTCCGATTATCTATTGATTTTTAGAACAAAAGGAAAGTGTACGGAGTATTTTAGAGATGTACTTAATCGATCGCAAATGTCGTTTTGTGGATATATCTGTTTATCTCGACGTATTTTGCAGGAATTGTTAGCATGCGTTTTCTCGCTTCTGACGTCATTAAAAAGAGATGGATGATGCGACTCCCCAGGATCCTTAAGACTCTTTATACCTCATCGGCCGTATCAGATTTGTGATCTCAGAAGTGAGGAATGACATGTTGACGAAAATTATGCGCCATTTATGAATAAAAATGAATATAGACGAAAGGGCATTTAAGATTGTTTGAGCGCATTTGTAAAATTGTTCGAATCCCTTTCCTTTCATGATCAATAAATCGTATAATAAGTGATAAAATGAGACACGTGAAAGGATGAAATAAGTCTGTATGTATGCTTCATTTCACCATTGACTATACAACTATTTATTAATTGTCAAGGAAAAGGGATAGCTTTCGGATAATTTCATAAGTATAATCTCAAGTGTTCTTTCGTCCATATTTATTTTTATTTAAAAATGGAACGCAACTTTTGTTAGTACGTCGTTCCTCGCTTCTGACGTCACAAATTCAACATGACCGCAGCAAGGTACGAGAAGCGTTAAGACTAGTCTTATGGATCAAAATACCGCGAAATCCTGGATTAATGACGTCAGAAACGAGAAAACGCATGCCAAAATTCTTACGTGCTATTTTAACAAATAAAGATTGTATGAAAGAACACTTTAGGTCGCTTGAATATATTTATAAAATGCTCCGAAAACTATATCTTTCTCTTATCAGTTTCGTTTCTGACATCATTAATCAAAGATTCCACAACAGTAGACCCAGGGGCTTTGAGTGAGATACACAAGACTAATTTTGTTTGAAAGCTTGAATATTTAAGGTTTCAATTGTATTGTATTTTTTCTAATTTGTGTGGGAAGATTTTCCTACATTTATAGTATTTTCTGAAAAGTGGCTGATGTACTTTTTAGTGGTATGACAGTTTAGTTTTGTCCTAGTTTGTAACATAACATGAATTTTATTTGAATACCATAAATCGACACGGGAATCATGAATATATTTTTAACGTATTGCTGACTTGAACTTGACAATCTATAAGTTAATAACTCATATTTATACTATTTAATATATTCTAGAGGAACAAGTTATGATGTTAATGCTATTTTTCTCTTATAACTTTATAATAAAATAAAATAATAAAAGATTTACAAAGCACACGTTCTTTTTAGAAATACGAATATCTTTTTAGAAATACGAAATACTTTAATATTATCATTTTATGTCATACTCAATTAGATTGCCACTAATGGGGATAAATAAATATTGTAGTACCGATTGATGACATATATATATATATATATAGATATATATATATGAGTTAAAATTACACATCTCTTGTTACTTTCCCTGTTTATAAAATATTCTTTAACCATCTCTCAATTTTAAGTTAACCATTTCACTCACTTGAAGTTAAAGAATAATTGCACAGATCTAATAAATAAACATGTGATATTAACTATCAACTTCTAACATTCAATGACTATTCGAACACTGCTTGAACTGTCATCGTCAGTAGTGCACTTGTAAAATTATAATGTTCGAGCATTTATTACGTTTTTAATTTCACTTAAAACTTGTTATATCTGGTGTATAAGTTTCAAAGAAAGAATACATGTTTAAGATAAATTTGAGCTCGTATTAACGGACTTATTAAGAAAAAAAAAGAAACGAATGCAATTGTCACAAATTGAAATCTTAGATGAAAATTTTTATCGGGAAGATCTCGCAACAATGTCATAAAGAATTGAGATATCAAGATTTTCACATGGCTACTCAGACACGTTCTCAAGCGAAAATATGGAGCAGATGTGAAACATATGTTCGAAAACGGGCAGCGTTGCAGTGGCTATGTGCATTTGAGCGACGATTGGTAATAATGGCATCACTGCGTGGTGTACAGATTTCAAATGGATTTTATTTTCGGGTCATCGTGTTTCTTTCTTTCTTTTTTTTGTTTTGTGAGAAAAGAAAAGTCACGAAACAAGAACAGGAAGCAATTCGCATTCCGCCAATTGAATCTCACGTCACCTGCCGGCGCACGCTCGCGAACGAGACGCGAACGCACTCTCTCACACTCCAAGTTCGCGCCTTTGAAGAGGATCAAATGAAACGGTGAGAAACAGTAGTCGAAATGACTCGGTATTGTATGGCACTGTCGCTTGGCGATTCGTATAATCTTGTTTCTCGCACACATCGGTACAGTCGGCCACATTAATGTCTTCATTGATATGCAATCGAATTGATCCAACACGATTGATGCATCGTGCGCGATTCAGCGCGCACGACGATCGAGAACGCGCGAAGAAATCGCGACGTAATCTTCGCGAGTAATTTCGAACGATTGACTTGACTCCGTGCGCCGAGGCTTGGTGGCCTAATTCTAATCGAGCGACCATTAATGTGACCAATTATACGTTAGACACACTTCCCGAAGAATCGTCCTCCAGTCATTCCACGATCGCTCTGGCACTCACATAAGCGATGTAGCCGAAGTCACATTGTCGTTGTCAATTGTAAATCTCCACAGGGAACACAATCCTCGCAAATCACACACAACTGACTCGAACCGAATAGGAATAAACGATACGCGGTGCATTCTCACACCGCGTGGATATGCCGCACCCTCTCCCATTCAAGTCCGATTAGCTCTCCTCGCGACTATCGTAAGCGGAACTCGCGATTAAGGAAACAAGTGAAAGAAAGAGAAAGAATTATATTCCCGAAGAAGAATCGACTTCGTGTTTTTATATCATATTCTTATTTTTAAAAAATATAAGTTTCACTTATAATCACTCGCCGTTCTGTCACTGAGAGAAATTATTCGATAAGAAATTAACAAATGTTTCCGTCAAAATGAACTTTTTCCGTCCGATGAATTTTTATATCCGACTAGGATTCTTATCATTCAATAAGAAATATCGATTTATAATTTTTTGATCGGTTTATCTGATAAAATACTAATATGATTAGAAGTATTCAATTAAATTTAATCGAATATCTTGATCAGATATAAAAATTCACCGATCGGAAATATGCGTTTGTTAATTTTTTATCAGATAATTTCTTTCAGTATAATGCTCGAATCCGCGCCAATAAATGGTCGATCATGCATAAGGCTAATTTCGCATCTTTTGGAATGGCCAAGAAGATTTTCCGAGAAAGGCGGGGAAAGATCTATTCGCACGAATTCAAAAGTCGTACGAACAAAAGTAAAACTTTATATTATCGTGCGTAATATCACCAATTCATTTCGAAATTACAGAACATGTGCATAATTTATTCTAAAAAATGTAGTTTGAAAATATCGCAGGTCGAAGTGCCACAAACGCGTTTTCCTTCACTTGACTCTTTAATTCGAGAATTAAAAGGGATTTTCGAATATCCGATATTCAAATCGCATACCCGAGTAAATGTTCCGCACAGTTTGAGATCGTCTTCGCTACATTGTACACTTGAAGAATTTTCATTCTCCCTCTCTCTCTTTCTTTCTCTCTGTCCACTTGGTGGAAATCTAAATCGCGATATCCGAATATCTAACTACTAAAATTCTAAAACACTAAAATTCTTTACA